GCTCCACAGTGGGCTGCCCTTTGAAGGCAAGCAGAAACTTCAAATGATCCAGGAAGAAGCAACATCCACAGCGCTGGGCACTCCATGGGTCATGCATGCTATACCAACGTTGCACTAGGTTCACGTGTCTTTCTGGGGTGCAATTCACGTTGTTGCTTATCACCCTGCTGTCTGTGTGTGTATGTGTGTATGTGTACCAAGATTGGGGAAGGCTGATAAAGGGCCCCTTCCATTTCTTTACTTTAGCCCCTTCCTTCCTGTGTCCATGATTTCCGCCACACTGACTGGAAGCTTGAGTTTTCCATGTGCTAACTTCCCAAACAATGCGTAGCATTAATGAAGCCCACTTGAGCAAATTTAGTTTGGTGATGGAACTGACCTCCTCTGTCTTGTTCGGGTTCTCCTTCCTCTTCATGTCTCTTTTGATAAGCTTCATCAGATAATCTACTCGCGCCTGGAGCTGCTTCCCCTGTGGCTTTTTATCTGTCTCAACTGGTAAAATCTGGGGAGGGGGTGGTGAAGAAGGAAGAAACATAAAAGAGACTTATTTAGAATGATCCAGCTGGCTTTGTGCCCAAGGCAGGATTAGAACTCACAGTCTCCTGGTTTCTAGCTTGGTGCCTTAAGCAGGAGACCAAACCAGCTCTGTGTTTGAAGCACGAAGTCAGCACAAAAAACATTGCCTGTCAAATGGCAGAACCAGAACTCCTTGCATCCGATGCCACTGATTCCTTGCAAAACGTCCTTTTTTTCAAGCGTTATAATTTGGCTCTGCATCTGTAAAACACTGACCCCCGTGTGAGGTTCCTTGTACCTTTTCAGTGAGGTTCAGTTCTGGGTCTGACTTGATGAGCTCCCAGTTCCCACATCCGTGCTCATAAATCCCCCGCAGCAAGGAAGAGTCCTCTTCCACTCCCCAGTCTACATCAAAATGGGCAGATTTGACACGGGAGTTCAGACGAAACCTGCAAAATTGGAGGAGGGGACAAGGCGAAAGGTGACAAGGGATCCCACCTGAGGCACTCCTGGTCAATAAAGTTTTACAACACAGCCAGATGAGACAAACTGAAAGGCAGTTATAGATGTGTGAGAAAGTGTGGATAGGCACCCAGAGGTGAAATTCTCTCTCTTAAACCTCTTCTCACTACCATGATTCCCCCAAAATAAGACCAGGTCTTATATTCATTTTTGCTCCAAAAGACGCATTAGTGCTTGTTTTCCGGTTAGGTCTTATTTTGGAGGAAATAACAGTACGAAATGTGTCCGGCTGGCTGATGATCTTAACTGGGGCTTATTTTAGGGCTAAGGCTTACATTACAAGCATCCTGAAAAATCATGCTAGGACTTATTTTTCTGGTTGGGTGTTATTTTCGGGGAAACACTATAGGTAACATAAGTTTCACCTCAACTGAGCAAAGGACCGTTTCTTAATTGCTCTAAGAAGGGACCAAATTCATGTGAGAACCAGCTATCGAGACCTAGTTGAAGAAAAGGCAACACAGAGTTGGCCTTGTAGGGAGTCTTCTCTCTAAGTTATCTTCTCCCTCACGGCTGGCACACTTGTGCCTCTCTTAGATGGTTATGCTTACCTTGCCCTCTCCACTGGGTCACTGGGAATGGTCTGATGGAGCATCGCAAACTCCTCCTCATGTTGAATAATTGCTTTCACGTTCACCTGGACTCCAGAGATCTTAATTGTGGGCCCCTTTCTCTTCCCTGGTCCTTTACCTGGATAAAAGGAGCCGCACAGTCACAATCAGGTGGGGCAGGTTGGGAATTGCATTTAAAGTGCATTCAGCACCTGAGATTTTAATATGTTCCTGTTTGGGTGCTGAAGTACCAGCCTGTTATTGTAGGAGAAGAGCAGGCAGAACTGGGGAGGGTTGGCGTTAAAGTCCTTGCGTGGCCAGAAATCAAGCTCTCTTGAATTCTGTTGACCCTTATCAAGAGACAATTTAGTAATAAACTTTATTTGACTAGATTTTTGCATATTGACTTCAATAAATCTTATGTGCTGCAACTTAACCTATGGGCCTGATCCTTTGCACCTGACAATGATTTTGGAAAAGAAGGAGTAGGTTTGGCATCATTTTCTTTCTCCCCCCTCCCCAAAGTTGACAAAATTTGTGTATTTTTTTTAAAAAAGGTCACTGTACCCAATTGTAAGGCTTTGCTGTGATTCTATCTTAAGATGTAATCTCTCACTGTCTCTAAATGATTTAGCACCACCTTTCCTGGGTTATCCCAAAGGAGCTTTTTCAAGCGGCAACTGGACTTCCAGAAAGTCCAGTTGCCTCTTGAAAAAGCACCCTTAGGACAACCATGACCTGGATGACTGAGAATCTCCAATAGACATTTTCCTAGGTTAGTTTGAGGGGAAGTGGAAACTTGAAACTGAGAAATCACTGGGGAAGATCAGTTGAGCAGATACCGAAACAATGATATGAGCATAAACATCATAGTTGCAGAGTTCAGTTCTTCTTAAGCATGAATTCTTCATACGGTGCCAACTTTCTTTATGGAGAGGCCCAGGCTCATAACCCTGGATTCTGAGCCAGGTCCCTTGGGTTGACCACCCCCCTTTTCCCATTACAGAAATCCCCTTTCCTCACTTTCAGTTGGGTTCTCCTTCAGATGCTCTTCATACTCCTGCATGGCTGAAGCACAACTGTTATGGAGAAGTTCTGCCAAACGTTTCAGATCAGCTATCGATTTCTCTACCAGTTCAGCATCCCGAGCGAGGCATTCCAGTCTAAAAAGGGAGATGGAATGGAATAAAGGTGCTCCATAGCAAATTTTTGACTCTCCCTCCCTCAACGCACCCACAAATCAGATATTATTTTAAAGCACTTCCAGAACTTGGATGGACTAAGAATAGCTACCAGGAAATGATTAAAACAAAAATCACAGAGTGAAACAAATTACAGTTGTAATTTGGTGGACAGCACAAGTCATAGGACCTTGATGGAAAATCACTCCAAACAGTTAACTATGCATCCCACATACGATGTGCAAACCCACCGGGTGTAAGTCCTGCTTATCCAATTGAAGACCTAACTTATATGCAAGGATGAACAATACTGAGGGATCAGGAGAGGCAACCCTGCCCCCGAACCTCCTAGGGGCTGCAGGAGGCCTCCTGGCAGGTGGATGAAACTGAACATATGATGACATCATCCATAAGCGATTGCATTCTACGTGCAATTTAAATAATCGATAGGGCCGTCCATCCCCTGGAAGCGATTCTGCGCGGTGTGCAATGATTAAAACAAAAATCACACCGTGAAACCAAAGGCGCCTGAGGTTTGATCATCCCACCAATGCTCTGATGTCATGACAGTTGTAATTTGGTGGACTGCATGGTCTCTCTATTCGGTCACTCACCGCTCCAAAGGAACGCCAAACTTCTTGTATGCCTTGATAAATCTGTGGAATTTAAACAGGAAGAGTTACGACCGTTAGAGAGGTTTGCTCAAGGCCTGAGTTTCACACACATCCCCCGCTGCTTGTGGGTCTGGTCTCCCTCCTCCCAAATTTAACCCCCCTCCAGATGTGCCCCGAGTACAACTCTCAAGTTGCCCAATATTTACAAAGTCACGTTAAGCCAAGGAAGGCTGCAGAAGCTTTCTTACAATATTTTCTTTGCTCTGGACACTCAAGATGACTGGAGTAATCTCCCCTCCTTTCATCCCACCACACCTCTCTGTGAGGTAGGCCGGGCTTCCCTCCCACCCTTTCCAGTTCATCTTAGCTCAGGCAAAAGATGAAAAACCAGTCCAGAAGAATTCCCAGGATGTTTCCCTGGATACCAACCTTCTGATTTCAGGGTCTGTAAAGCCTTCCACTGTGTCCTTCCGAACACTGCGAGGCCGTCCTCTGCGTTTGGGCCTTTTGTCATCATCAGAGTCCTCTGTCTCGGTATCTGAGCCCGAAGACCTCTGGAGCTTCCTCTTTATTTCAACATCTGATTCGCTGTCATTGGCCTGAGCCTGTTGGGGCCAGAAAAAGACCAGGCTTAAGAGAGATCCTCTTTGACAGAGGCCGTAATCTCCAAATGGTCCTCGACTTATAGTTTGTTTAGTGACCAAAGTTACAAGACCACTGGAAAGGCACTTATGACCATTTTTCACCCTTATGACCATTGCAGCATCCTCTTGGCCATATGATTTATCTTCTGATGGTTGGCAACTGACGGTTGCAGTGTCCCGGGGTCATGTGATTCCCCTTTTGTGACCTTCTGACAAACAGAGTCAATGAGAAAGCCTCCAGGGTCCCTAGGAACATGCTGTGTGTTTCTCAGCACCAGTCAAAGTGTGAATTTACCTGTCATGCCCCTGTCAGAATCAGATTCGGAGGGGGAGGCCGAACAGTTGACAAGGAGTGGGAGTGTGGCTCTGTTGGCTGTGAAGGAAACTGGGGAAGGGCGAAGTCTGGCTTAGCAGAGCAGGGGAGAGGTAAAGCAAGGGAGAGGGAATTCGGAGGAAGATTTAGGCCCAACCCCTCTTCATTCTAGGGCACGCAGGGAGGAATGGAGAAGGGAGCAACGCAAGTTGCGTAGCTTACGGGGGAGGAAAGGGCCCTGATTCCCTTCATTAGCTGCAGTGGAAACACAGTGTTTAAAAAGGGAAGCTGTGCACAGCAAGTTGTTGGCAGCAAATCGTGAATTATCTGGTATTGTTGAGGCTTATCTGTGTTCCTGGCATCTTCCCAACTTTGTGTGTTTTGGCTGTGCTTTCAAGTCTGCAATTCCTTCTCCTGCCCTGTCAAGTTAATTACTGCAGCATGGTTTGCTTGGATTTTTAGTTATAGTTTATAAGTACTTTGTTTTTGGACTGAATTTCCTCCACTTAAAAGACTGTTCCTGGGAGAGTTTTTTCTCCAGCCGAAGGTAACCTGGACACTGGTGGCAAAGTTGGAGATAATAAAGGAACCCTTCTTGTTTATTTGACTGTGTTGCCTTTGTGCCACATCCCAGGATACCACATTACCCTTCTTCAAAATTAAGCATCTATTGTATCTCCAGCAGAACCATCTGCATCTGAAAGTCCTCCATTGCTATTGTTTTGAAAGGTTTTTTTTTTTTCATGCAGGATGAGGTGAATCTCACATCTCATGTGTGAGATGCTCCTGTTATGAATCTTACACTAGAAAAATTACCTTTTTGGCTGAGCTGCGAATCCTGGGCAGCATGTATATCTCCTCGAGTTCTTTCTGCCGCTCCTCTTCTTCCACTTTCTTCCTTTGTTCCTCAGGAATGATGTATTCCCACTCCTTCTGAGATTTCTCTTCCGCCTCGGCTTCTTCCTCTTCTGTTGTAGCAAAGTTTGCTACCTAAGAGGAGAAACATTACTCCCTTTAAGGCGCTGATAATGCCACAAATTCTGAAACCTTTGGTGCTCCTTTTCTGGGCCCGTACCTTAAATTGTGAGAGCAGTTCGTCTGTTGCACTTGTGGATGGTTCATTCTCTCGCGTCTCAGCCAGGCGTAAGATTTCCTCAATGTCCATTTCCTAGAAGCAGGGGCAAGAGTGCAGTCAGACACACACCAATATGAAATATTTAATATTGTCTTTCTACAATCCTGATATGGAAATGAATTGAATCGAGTTAAATCTCTGCCAATTTCAAATGACATCCCAAGGAGAATCAAGGTAATCTCTACCCAGACGTATGGATCAAAAAACTCACTTGTGGTTCAGATTCTTCCCCTTCGGGTTCTTTAAAAAGCTCTTCGGCTCCAAATTTCAAGATGGCGGTCAGTTCCTCCTTGTTGAATGGGTTTGTCCTAGAAAAAAGCATGAAGCCACTGGCTTGAACAAAGATTTCCAGTTTACAAGTACTTGGACCATATCTTAGCTCACTTTTCCAGGATCTCAAATAATCTAGATCAGGGGTGTCCAACCTTGGCAACTTTAAGACTTGTGGACTTCAACTCCCAGAATTCCTCAGCCAGCAAAGCTGGCTGAGGAATTCTGGGAGTTGAAGTCCACAAGTCTTAAAGT